AAAGCAAGGAATTGTTTATGTCCCTCTTCGCCTTGATCTTCGTGGTCACTTTCATCTTCATCAGATTTTGATTCATCATCCTAAGTGATGGCGAGGGCTTTCTTCTTCCTCAAACGAGTAGGGCATTCTGAAGCAAAGTGGCCAAATCCTTGGCATTCATAGCATTGGAGTCTTTCAGAGTTCCCTTGTATCTTTCCTTTCTCCTTCTTGGCTATAGGATTAATTTTGAGTTTATCTTTGCCTTTAGATTTATGAGAATGAGTAGATTCTAAAAGATTAGGATTCTTTTTCAAAAAAGATTTTTTAAATTATTTAACAAAAGCAGTCGTAATCTTCGAATCTATCTCACAATCTTCATCAGAATCCTCTCTAACTTTATGAGCACTACTAAAAGTAATTTTTTGCTTCTTTTGAAATTCCTATGTGCCTCATAAGTTTGGAGATTTCCAACCAACTGATCTAGCTTGAGATTGTCAATATCTTGAGCCTCCTCAATAGCCGTAACTTTTGGTTGGAACCGATCGGGCAAGGATCTCAAAATTTTTTCCATAACTTTGGATTCTGGTATTTTTTTACCTAAATTGAAGCTGGAATTTACAATGTCACTCAACTTCGCATAAAATTCATCAAAGGTCTCACTATCTTTCATTGAAAGGTTTTCGAAACTAGATGTGAGCCTTTGAAGTTTTGAACGTTTCACAGAATGAGTGCCCTCATGAATAGTTTGTAAGATATCCCAAGCCTCTTTTGCGACTTCACAATTGCAAATACGACTAAACTCTTCAGGTGTGACAGCGCAAAAGAGAGAATTGATAGCTTTACTATTCCAGCTACTATATTGGTAATCAGTTGTGTCCCACTTATCAATTGGTTTGGGGAAAGTTACTCCATCAACAGTAATTGTTGGTTCAGTCCACCCATTCATGACGGATTGCCAAACTTTTTCATCAATAGATTTTAAAAAAGATCTCATCCGAGCTTTCCAAAAAGAATAATTGGATCCGTCAAGTAGGGGTGGTCGAACCATAGAATTTCCTTCACGAATTGTATCAATTATCACAAATCAAACAAGATCTCGTTCTAAAAGAATTTTTTTAAAAAAAATAGAACGACCCGCTCTAATACCAATTGAAAAATTTAAAAATCCCCTAGATATTGATTTGTGATTATGTAACAATTTTAAGCGGTATATAACAATCCCAATCAAACAATCAAGACAAATCAACACAACGATTTTAACGTGAAAAAAACCACAATTGGACACCTCCAACTGTGATTAAAAAACCATGGGCAACAGCCACAAAACAATCCACTAAGAAGATTTAAAGGAATTACACAGGTATACTCTCCATTACCTAGCGAATCCACGCCTAATTGAACCAACCTCCATGTGCCTCTTCCAACCCGTCTTCACCTCGGAATTGTCTCTACGATGAGCCACATCGGAATCCACCAAAGCTTCAGGCTTGAATTCTTCAGAATCCACCGAAGAACAACTCTCTCTTTTGTAGAACACACAAAACCTTTGATGTATACTCTTTAAAATATGAGTTGAATACTCAATCAAAACATCAAAGAAAACTCATAAAGTATCCCCACATATAAACCTTAAGAACCAAAAATAAGATCTAGAGGAATTCAATAGTTTTGGGAGAAAACCAACTATTTATAGAAAATTCAAAAGTAATCCTAGTTTTGGAAGAAATCCAATTTCTTATAAAAATTCAAAAGTAATCCTAATTTTGGAAGAAAATCAACTTCTTAAAGAAATCATTGTCAAACGGGATTGCCAATAATAAAACCTAACAGTAACATTCCTTCACATTTTCATAACATCACCACGCTTATACATAATTTAACCATAAATTGTTGTAATAAAAAATATATATTGTCTTCAAACTAAAAACACGATTTTAGAAACTAAAGATATTTTATCTCAAACAAGTTTCAATAGAAAATCAAGGGTTTCAGATGAAAATCAAGATTTCTAAAAAATAACTTATTTGGCAGTTTTCTTGAAATATGAAATTAGTTGACCGTGCAATTTGACCACCGATCTAGTCGAACTCATGGTCAACAATAAGATGGCCAAAACTACTGGAATAAGTCCAAGTAGTGTTCTAAAATTATAGTTACAGTATTAGTTCAAATCATGACATTCATTACTTTTGTATTAGAGTCTAAGAGCAAAATGTTAAGTGTAAATTTGTAAATAGAATAGAGTATTACTCTAAGAGAACTGTTTTTTGGACAAATTAAAAAGAAAAAAAAAGTAATTAGTGTGTTTGGTTTGAGTTTTTTGAAAATTAAGTTTTTTGGTTTTTGTGTTTTTTTTTTTTAGTAAATATTTTTTAAATTTTAAACATTTTTTTTTTTACTTTTTAGATGCACCTTACTGAGATGTATCTAAAAACTAAAAAAATTGTGAAAAAATATTTTAAAAAATTAATAAATACATAAAAATATAAAAAATGTATTGAATTCTCGTATTTTTTTTTTATATTTTGGGTATTTAGTGAATTTTTAAAAGGTTTTCTTTACAATTTTTTTACTTTTTAGATACATCTAAGTTAGGTATATCTAAAAATTTAAAAAATTACTTAAAATATTAAAAAAAATCAGTAAAAATAAAAAACACGAAAAATAATAAAGTAAAATTTTCTGAAAAGTGTTTTTTGAAAAGCTAGCCATTGTTTTTGTAAAATTATAATTATGTTTTATTTTAGGGATGCCTCTTTTATCTAGATATTTTCTTTTCTTTTATAAAAGGCCAAGCTGAGTATTAGTTTCTTTTTTTAAATTTTTTATATTTACATATATTTGTATGACTCTTGTTCCTCCACATATTCAAAGTTAATGGATTACTCAAAACAAATGGAATAAGCTTTGGTTGAATGCTTAAGTTGGGACCCTTGGCAAGGTAATTGGGAAACATGACTAAAGACACATTTTAAACTGACTAATAATTTTGGAACGGTAAAATTAATCATATCATTTGAATTTGATATGACTGGTTTATATAAAGAAATCAAACAAACTTGAACACATTTTAAACTGACTAGGGGTTGGTTTGGGAAGTGGGTTGACTTTTTAAATTTTTTAGCTATTTTAGTATGGACTAAAAAGCTTGGTTTGGGAAAGACTTTTTGACTTTTTGACTTTTTTAACTTTTTTGTGAGAGAATAATGTAATGATTATAGATGTGATATTTTATTTTTTGTGGCTAAAATAACTTATTTTATTTTTTGTGGCTAAAATAGCCAAAAAAGCCTACTTTAGCTCTTCCCAAACAGTGCCTAGTAATTTTAGAGCTATAAAATAAATTATATTATTTAAACTTGATTTGACTGTTATGTAAAGACTTTAAGAAAACTTGAATGTATTTTGAACAAAAATGCTTGGGACCCTCAAAACGATGTCGTTTTGACCATTTGAGCCACAGAATTTGGGCCCTCTACCATTGCTCATAAAAAAATCAAACAAACTTGAATACATTTTAAACTGACTAGGGGTTGGTTTGGGAAGTGGGTTGACTTTTTGAATTTTTTGGCTATTTTAGTCTGGACTAAAAAGTTTGGTTTGGGAAAGACTTTTTGACTTTTTTAACTTTTTTGTGAGAGAATAATGTAATGATTATAGATGTGATATTTTATTTTTTTTGACTAAAATAGTCTATTTTATTTTTTTTGGCTAAAATAGCCAAAAAAGCCTACTTTAGCTCTTCCCAAACAGTGCCTAGTAATTTTAGAGCTATAAAATAAATTATATTATTTAAACTTGATTTGACTGTTATGTAAAGACTTTAAGAAAACTTGAATGTATTTTGAACAAAAATGCTTGGGACCCTCACAATTGGAGATCTCTATGACCCTCAAAATGATATGGACTAATCATGTATTTTTGTTTTTTGTTTTGTTTTTTTTGTTTTTTCTTTCTTTCCTTCCTGGACTAATTACAGGTGAGTGGGGTCGTGGGGTTGTGTTTTTTTGGGAGGGTTTGTAGCATTGTTGTATTTTGAATCTCGTTAATTTTTTAAACTCAATTCAAACTCAATAAAATTTGTAAGTCTATAATTCATGTTTGTTTTACGATGGGATCAACTATACGAAATTCTATAAATACCTTTGGTCGTTTTTATATATTTTAATATTAAAAACATATTTTATAAATATTAAATTTATATTTTAATATTAAAAATTACATTTGATAAATATATATATATATATTTTGGTACTATATTATTTTAATATATATTTTTGGTATAATTTTATTATTATATTATTATATTTTAATATTAAAAATTATTATACTATGAATTTTATTTTATATTTTAATATTAAAAATTATTGCACTGTGAATATGAACAAGAGCAATATGGTCGTTAATATCTAGTCCCAAGGAACTCATTATCTAATACCATCTCTTCTACCTTACAACCAATCCCATGGTTAATACCTTACAACCCCATGGTAAAAGGCCTATAAGATGGTGTTGGAACTCATAGTTCCTTGTCATAATTTAAAAATAAACAAGATATTAACAATTCCAACACACTTAACTTAGTCCCAAGCTTTATTTCTGAAAACAAACAAACTCTAAAAGTGAAACTATTCAATCTTGGCTTGATTGAAACTTGTTTATAAGAGCTCTAAAATTAACCAAACTAAATTTAAACACATTTTAAAACTTGTTAAACTTCTCCAGTAAGTTTAAACAACTTGGTTTGCCTTGGTTCTTTTACAACTCTCTATTCACATATGTTTAGTTGTAGTAGTGTCACCAACTCTGTCATGCGACTAAAAATTCATTCAACCATCCAGAAAATAAACAAATAAGGGGAAAGATCATGAAAAAAATATTATGAAAATGATCATGAAAGATTCTTTACTGTTAGATTACACATATAAGAAAACACCACACAGTAATCAAGGAATAAAAAATCTTCATGAAACATTTCATGATATTTTTTTCTTTATCCCTATTATTATTCAAGAAATAAAGAGCACAAATTAACTTGATTTTATTTCTATCCAAGAAACAGTTTAGGTGACAATCTCCAAAAAACTAAAATAAATTTAAAAAAAAAAAATAAAGAGAGCGAGAAAGAGGGGCTAGAAATGCCGTCTTATACGAGGGAAAATTGTACATCTTCATGATACAAAGGAAACAAACATGGGGGGAAATGCAGTACATTTTATTTTGTAAACCTCTCGGTGAACAGACCTTCTGTCACAACCCTTACGTCACAACCGGCAAATTTCATTTACATGTTTCAATTGACTGTAAATGCATATATACATGTATATGGGCAATCTTGCTCTGTTTTTCCTGTTTTTTTCTTAAAGATTGATTTTCTCTTCTCTACATTTTTCTTTCTGGGAGGACATGGCCAATCTGGACCTGAATTTTTCCAGAGACAAAATCCAGAATATAAAATCACGCTGACTAGTACCGGCCTTGTCTGTGCCAAAATTGATTTGTGAAAGAATTTACTTCTGCTGTTGTTCATCAGCTCGCTCCTGTGCTTTGCGATAAAGCTCGAGCGTATCCGTATGGCTGAGATCAAGGCAGAGAGCTGCTTCACAATCTCGGATTGTGGAATTGCAGTCACCCATTGAGTCATGGAATGCTGCTCGGAGATAGAGTAGCTGTAGATCTGGCTTGAAAGCTATGGCATTTGTAAGCTCTGTAATGGCTTCAGCTTCCTTATGGTCATCCATTAGAACTGAAAAGCATAATTCGAATATTACTTTCCAGGTAAAACACAAAGGAGTTGGTGCACACACACAGGTAACAAAGTAAGAAAGTTTTACTAGTGAAAAGGGATTAAAACTAACTCATAGCCAGTGTGTACCTCAACTCATTTAAATGAAACATGAACTGCAAAAAATAAACACAACTGCCACAGACAGAGAGAGAGAGAGAGCATTCCCCTGAGTAATAGATATTGGTCACTTTGAGATGAAGTTCATTCCTAACACTGCCTTTTCTAAATCCAATAATATATGACCATAGTCCAATCCAAATACTACATGAATGTACACAAAACTAAGAGTAACTGCATCCAATGCATCTAAGGTATATCGGCGCATAAAAGCTGCACAAGTTGCTATTATGTGTAGCATTCAAGAATTTAGCCAATATGATCTACCATTAAATCCATCTCATCTATGTCAATGACCTCGTGTTTTAGTTCATGTGACATTTAAGGACAGATATCTTGGTGCAATACTGGTGCGGACACCTGGCCTCAAATCACACAAGTTTATGGACGTTGACACAAGAGGATGGCCCACCCAATGACTTTGTGGTTGGGTGATGATGTTATCTGTTGGCCCTCACTATGGAGTTGTCTTCTTATTTTGTTCAGATGGACTTGTTTCATTATTTGATAAGATTCTAGTTGAGATTGTTATCATTTTGAGTTTTCATGTCTTTTACTTGATAAGGTTGGAGGCTATTAAGGACTCCTAACACTACCAGATGAGGCAGACTTGGAATTCATTAATAAAATCTATGAGATTCTATTACTTTTGGTGCTGAAGCCAAATTCCTTGGGTGTTGAAGCCTAAGGTTTCTTTTCATTTTATCCGCATCAAACACACATGCGCACAAACCTAGATTCATCCTTACAGAAACCAGACACTAAGTAGCACAGACATAGACACACGACACGACATTGACATGCCACACATCGATTTTCAAAAATTGCAAGACACGATACATTTGCGATATGTTTAAAATTTATATTTTTATAAAATTATTACATGTTAAATATATAAATAGTTTAACATTAAAGTTAAAAGCCATATATATGTTCCCTAACTTAAACTTCCAAGTATTATTCATGTCACAATTGCAATTGAAAAAATGCAAAACAATTGTACAATATAGAAATACAAATGATGTATTCATCTTATAATATATTTAGAGTGAATAAGTTGCATTCGAAAGAATACAAAACATTGTTACTATGAAAAGATTCATCACATAGGTTGTGTTTAGAGGGTTCAAAAAGTGTCGCCAAAGTGTCCAAAAATTGTTCATAAAGTGTCCAATATTATGAATTTAAGAGAATCTGCAAAATGTCGTGTTCGACACGACAAATGTCCTCCATAGAAGTGTTCGTGCTTCTTAGCCAGACACAACCTTTTTGGAAATGTGGATTTTCTTCCCAATTGATGAAAATACACAATATACATCCATTTTTGAAAGCTGAACCTCAAATTAGAAAAGCAACAACATAACTCAACAAACAATACAGCTCAAGGAAACTGTTACATGTAAACTATTGGAAATGTTGTCTAGCATGTCAATTCTGCAGGGCATTAAGATGGGATGAACCTTCAAAGTTTAAACTGAAATAGAAAACTGAGGACCTAATAAACGATAAGCAACTCCTACTAAACTTGTCCATCCGAATCAAAAGCTTCTCCAGTCATAAATTTAAGCCTGTACAACCAGGCAAATGAATAGTAATAAGCTAAATATCAATCAGCCACTTTGCACTTGGCTATCATCTAGATCTGTACCATTATTTCATGTATCATCTTATTTTATGATTATTTCAAGATTGACACATTGCAACATGTAAGACCTGTTGACGACATGATTAATCCGAAGACATCAGTCAAACAGCCTGGACAGTCCAGGCAGGTAACCTCAAAGGTAGCCTAGGCAGCCACTTAACATGTCACAGAAGACACCATACATACATAGTGGTTAAGAAGCACGGACACTTCTAAGGAGGTAATGTATCCGTGTCGAACACCGACACTCTTTGGACACTCTTAGGACATGTGTCCGACACTTTTCAAAACGTGTCATATTTTTTTAATTTTTTTAAAGACCAGGACACTCTTTGGGCATTTGGAGGACACATGTGTCAATCACTTAAACACATGTGCCTATCGATTAGACACATGTGAAACTAATTACAAGTTTAAACAAAACAACTTAAGGCACAATAATAAAACAAAAACCATATAAATTTATAGCAATTAGTGTCATATTGCATTTTTTATTATCTTTGAATGGCATATTCATATATATAACATATAATAAATTTATAAAATTATATATTTCTTGGGTGTTCCCCATGTGTTGTGTTTGCATTTTTTGAAAATTAACGTGTCTGCGTGTCCGTATCGTATCCGTGTCGTATCACATGTCTGTGTCCATGTTTCTGAACATAGTGCATATGTTCCACATAACTCAATTAGTATCCATTTAAGCAATTATTGCTAAAGAGATATAATAGAAAGAACACATAAAAAGTTGTCTCACCAACCTACAATGGAAAATAGAACAAGGAGAAAGCATTATTTTAAAACCACAAAGTGATAAAAATCTAGGCAGATTGCTAACCATCTAAAAAGCACGGACACCTCTAAAAAGGTGGCGTGTCCGTGTCGGACATCGACACTCGTTGGACACTTTCCTAACACGTGTTCAACACTCAGCCAAATATGTTCTATTTTTTCAAAAAGAATTTAGATTCAGACACTCTTTGACCACCTAGAGGACACACATGCCCATTACTAAATACATGTATCCATTGATTAGACACACACAAAACTAATTGTAAGTTTGAATAAAAAAATTTAGAATATGATGATAAAAGAAAAATAATGTCAATTTATAAAAATTAGTGTTATATTGCATTTATTTATTGTCTTAGAATGATATATTCATATATATGGACAATAATAAATATATAAAATTATATATTTTGTGCGAAAAGAATGAAAGGAATTATTTGGCTTACCCATGAAGAGGTAGAGGCCATGTATAGATAATAGATTCATGATACAATTTAGGAAATGATATAAATAAGAAAACAATACTAAATCAGTGATTGACACAATCACAGATTACATACATAATCCTAAAAATAAAAAGATTCTATGTACTCTAATTTCTACATTCAACACTCCGCCTCAAGCTAGTGTAAAGATATTCAACAATCGCAGTTTGCCAATAGATGACTAGAAAAAGCAGGAAAAAACTCAATAGCTAGTCCAAATATATGCTACCGAACAAATCTAGTAGTCCACTAAATAAAAAAAGGCCAAAAAATGCTTAATATATCACCACCACACCCTAGAAAGGAGAAAAAAAATGGGGACTGAACTACTATAGAAGAGTTGTCGAAGCATCTATGGTCAGGAAATACCTTGGTCGGCAGCCAATGAGACCCTGGTCGGCATTAAAGGTTAGAGCTAATAATAGTTTATGGTTGTGCCAGACCGTTGTAGAAACTGGTCGGAATTACTGTCAGGACAGTTTAAGGTCATGCTAGACTGTTGTAGGAATTAACCGGAATCAATGTAGGGGACAGTTTAAGGGGTCATGTTGGACCGTTGTAGAGACTAATCGGAATCAATGTCGAGACAGTTTAAAGAGGTCATGTTGGATCGATGTAGAGAACTGGATGTTGAACCGACAAGTGTAGCACACACATAACTTATGACGTGGTGTTGAACGATGGTGGCAACAGATGACTGAGTGAGCTAAGGGGTGACTTATTAGAATGTGCGCCAAGAGGGATGGCTTAGGTGGTACGACAAGGGGGTGACTAGGGTTGTGCGCCACAAGGGGCGACTTAGGTGGTTCACATGGTACATCACCATGCTGACCATGATATAGGTATAATACCCTCTTCAAACTCAAATAGGTTTGAAGATAGAAACCTATTTGAGGTTGAAATAGAGAGAAAGATAAAGTGAAACAGAACCACAAAAACAAAAAAAAAAGAAAAAGAAAAAGAAAAAGAATTGCGAGTAAAAAAAAAAAATATAATAGAGATATTTAGGATAGGAATAAACTAGTGGATAGAAGAAGAGATCATCACGAAATGATATTGAAAGAAAATATGGCAGTAGAATGGATTGAGGTTCGGCAGGCGGCCAAGGCAAGGCTGCCGCCGCTCGCCGGTGAAGCAAAATTACTAGGTACTTGACCTAACTTTGATATCAAAAAGAATGAAAAGAATTATTAGGCTTACCCATGAATGAGGTAGAGGCCATGCATATATAATAGATTCATGATGCAATTTAAGAAATGATATAAACAAGAAAACAATACTAAATCAGTGATTGACACAATCACAGATTATATACATAATACTAAAAATAAAAAGATTCTATGTATTCTAATTTCTATATTCAACAAGTCCCCCACGTGTCGTGCCCTGCATTTTTTGAAAATTATTGTGTCGGCGTGTCCGTGTCGTATTTGTGTTAGTAACCATCATTTTTTTTAATGTTGTATGTAACAAGATATCTAACCATCATATGATCATAATTCTATTGAAACAAGCAAGGAATGTTGGAATCCACCATATGAACACTATTTTTCAATTGACCAAACCATAAATTCATCCTAAGATACACTTGGTAGTCTTCACCTTGCCTGACTTGGCCAGCCCTTGTACAATAGGGGATTAGGGATGATGTCATCAAAGTCATAAAAGAGATGCCCATCACACAGGACCTATAAGGTACAATCGATTATGAATCACATAGGGCCTATAAGGTAAATTATTAGAATATCAATTATATGGTAAAACCAGTGAAATCACAAAACTTGGAATTACATTTGTAACTGTGACGGTGAAATGGCATATCATAAAGCTTCACCCTACCATTTACAGCAACCATGAATATAGAAGAGATGGTGTCAAAGAATAATAAAACAACCTACATCTTGATTAATTTCATTTAATTTAAGGGAAGTCCAGGTTATAATTTAGATTCTAAACAATAGCACTACCAAAAATAAACAAATCATAACTGAATAGTTACGTAATTTACCTGCTGCCCTGTATCTGTATGGATATGTCCTAAGGGGATCTAGTTGTGTCGCCATACTAAGATCACTCTTTGCCATGTCACGATCACAGTATTCTGAACGTTTCTCATATGCTGATGCATTGTTCTGGGCCTTCTCAATCAACTTTGTCATCTCATCATATGCAGCTTTACGCTGATTTTTTAGATGATACACACGTGCCAGACCCTGATGTGCTCGTGTATGCTTGATATTGAGGGCATTCGTGTAGCAGTCAGCAGCAAGATCCAGCTTGTCACAGTCTACGTAGACACTGCCCAAATTATTTAATGCCTGTAAAGGAACAGAGTTATTCAAACAATACTCCAACTCAAATGATAAAAAATATATTGATCTCACTAAAGAAAATACTTACTTGTCCCTTTCTGAGGCCATCTGAGGGGCAACTAAGAGCTTCCTCAAGAAGCTGGATAACATATAACGAAGACTCCGAATCAAGATTTGAATCGGCCAAAGCATATGCTTTCAGGAAAAAAGCTTCAAACGATCTCCGGATAGAAATGGACTCTTCAGCTTTCGCTAATGCTGCTTCACGATGGCCTGTGTCATATAAAAGCCATCCCTCATAGACAAGCCTTTCATGCTCAGATGTAGAATGATTTCGAGCCAAACGCAGACTATGCATTGCAGCCTTCTGACAGTTTAACCTGTAACAATCAGAAACATCAGTCTTTCTGTTTGAACACAAAAAGATTGACTACTGAGGAAGACGAGCACGAACAATTCCCATCTTTTGTATCCTAGAACTAAAAGAAAACCACAAACTTTAGCACCTCACATAATTGAAGATAGTTCAACCTGTAAAAATCAGAAACATCGGTCTTTCTATTTGCACACAAAAAGATAGATTACTAAGGAAGACCACGAACAATTCCAATCTTTTGTATCCTATAACTATAAGAAAACCACAAAATTTTAGCACTTCACATAACTGAAGCTAATGCTCTTACAAGAATTAGAGTGTTGACCACAAACCGATGAAGAAATGTCTCCAACAGTTGTTTTTGGTCCTCCAAGACAGAGTTCACTAGAAGCTTCCACATTGGTTTTTCTTATCGTGCTATTCCGACAGAATAGAAAGTTGTTGACAAAATAACTGGGAGTTTGCATTTCAGTAAAACTTCCTACAAAGAATCTTTGACTATAAAGCAGGAGTACGGGTACAAGTACTGGTACAATATGGTTACGTCGACAAAGTAAAATCTAAAAAAACTAGGGTACAAGTACGGTTAGGTACGCTCGTAAATTTTTATTTTTATTTTTTATTTTAATATGGAGTATTGCAAAAATTAATTAAATGGTTTAGTTGATTAAGACCCAATCTACAATTCACATTTAATGCTAAAAGTAAGGTATAAACCAAAATTAAATGTCATTATCTTAAATAACTTACAAATCAAATCTTAATTTTAAAGTCGTGCTATGCATAAAAAAAAGGGTAAATTACATTGACTGTTTAATATAAATCCCCCTCTCATATTTGAAAAATTACATTTCCCTCCCTGGAGTTTGTAGTCTCATTACAAATTGCTCCCCTGATTGTTGATGTCATGCTCTAAACTTTTCTAAATGACCATCTTGCCCTTTTTCCCAACATTTCTTCTTTCTATCATCGTGACTACATTTTACAATTTTTCATTATTAAATTCCACCTGAACATATTCTTATTGAGTGATAATATACAAACATAAATTTTATATAGAATTTTCAAACACAATGATATAGTTCAATGGTGACTTTTCACTTTAAAACAAAACACCCACAAACATGATTTATATTTACAACAATATTACTATCACAACATTTTTAGGATATTTTTTGTATAAATTTTTATATATGAATATCATTTTTCATTTTTATTTCCACCATTATATCTAGATTAGATCAATCTAATCTAGATATATTCAAAAAGTATAAAATTTGTACAAAAAATTTTAAAAAAATCTATTGAATACAACGAAATAAGATAATGTATTAAATTTTTGTGTGTTTTTTTTTTTTTTGTATTTCATGAATTTAAAAAAATCACAAAATATTATACTTCTTAAGTATATTTAGATTAGGTGTATCTAAAAAATAAAAAAAATTGCTTAAAATATTAAAAAAATTCAGTAAAAATAAATTTAAAAAAAAAAACAAAAAATAAAAAAACTCAATTTTTTGTGTGAGTTAAACCAAAGAAGATGATTGTTATTTCCCTTGAAATGATATGAACAAAATATCTGTATTATTTTATTATTTTATGTGTATAAAGGTTAAGGGGTAAATATGTCATTTTAGTCTGACAGGGAGGTAAGTGTAATTTTTCAAATGTGAGTGGAGATCTGTATTAAACAGAAACCTCAGAGGGTGTCAGTGTAATTTACCCTAAAAATAAAATCTAATGAAACTAAAAAAAATTATTTTGGCTAAGATACGACTTGAATATATACTAGGTACGTTTAAGGTATAGAAAAAATTTGGCTACGCTTACCATGCAAAGTACCAGCACCTAATAAGTACCCATGCTTCATAAATCTTTGAGGATCGACTGATGTCACATGGACATATAAGTGGCTCAACATATTATTGACTTAGTGAAATAGTTTGTGCTTTGAAAAAAACCTATGGTTTGAAGTTGGTGTCGAACTTAAAAGTTGAAAAATGAAAAACAAAATGAAAAAGAAAAAGAAAAATAGAGTCGAACTATTGATGTAGCATTGCATGTGCCTTATAAGAAACCTATAATATGATTTTATCAACATCAATGTGTTCATTTTTACTAGGTTAGATAATGTCATTGTAGCAAGCAACTGCAACGAATAATGCATTTAATTCCACTGACTGAAAGCATATCTAGAGATTGAGATATAATTAACCAATTAAACATGCAGAGTTGGGCATGGTTCTAAACTGTTCGAACCCTCCAGACATTTTACTAGCTTAATCCATGCAGATGATTTTGTTGTCCTTTATTCCTCTGTTTATTATGATATGCAGTCTTTTGTTTGTTACTTGTGAGTTTTAAATTTTTCTGCCATGAAATTGTTTGGAGAAGCTGATGAAAACACAATCATGCACATGCTGATCGGTCATAGGTCAGCGGCATTTATCATATTATATACTGGTAGTCTATTCAATAACCATATTTCATCACTTATCATCCCCCACCACCCCAAGAAAAAAAAAAAAAACAAAAACAAAAAGCAAATAAGTAAATCACCATCCACCCAACATAAAGTATATTCTGTTTCTCCTATTACTGAACACCATTCATGCTACACTTCTGTAAAGCATCATAGGTTCTGCATCATTATTACCGAATCAATTTATCTCCCGCTAATTCAGAATGGAGTTAAATGATCAGGAGTTCACCAAGCATGCACAATGGGCAGATTCACAGTGTTCCTTAAAAGAAATGTTGACAAAAAGTTGTTTGTGCATGGAGATTTTATTCTTAGCTTAAAACATGCAAGGCAAACATTTTGTTTCTCCTATTACTGAACACCATTCATGCTACACTTCTGTAAAGCATCATAGGTTCTGCATCATTATTATCGAATCAATTTATCTCCCGCTAATTCAGAATGGAGTTAAATGATCAGGAGTTCACCAAGCATGCACAATGGGCAGATTCACAGTGTTCCTTAAAAGAAATGTTGACAAAAAGTTGTTTGTGCATGGAGATTTTATTCTTAGCTTAAAACATGCAAGGCAAACAAAGAGTTATTAACCAGAAGAGCAGAAAGCATATGATTTTCACAGCAAAACTTGTAAAGGCGAGCTTATTAGAGCTCCAAAAATCTTTAAATGGCTAAAAAAACAAACAGGACTAGAAGAACTCAGTTGGTAAATCACCAAAAGAACTGAAGTTGAACTCATCTAACTACCATCTGTGCTTACCGTAATAGGAGGAGAGACTGCCGGAATCGTAAGAGGCTCTTCTCAGGGTCATTTGCTAACATATGATGTACAACAGCTAGGGAGCCAATATCATCAACAGAAGACCATCGATCATACAGCTGCATCCAACAATCAGCTTGACTCCACTGCTGAACATGATGTTGGAGGAGCTCTACCAAGTGGTCTCCATGCAACTTTCCATGGAACATCATGTAATGGGGGTCCAAAGTCAAAATTGCCCGGACATCTCTTAAACCTCCTTCATATTCCTCCAAATAAATCGAAAACCAAGCACGTAACTCAAGGCAGTCAGAAGAGACCTTGAAACTGATTATTCTATTGATCTCTGAGATGGCTGCCCCAATCCTATTCTCCTCCATCATCAAAACAGCCCTGTACTGGTACGGATAAGAAAGAGTAGGGTCCAATTCAGTTGCTGTATCCAAGTCCATCATCTTCTCTTTCCCACTACAATATAGGGACCGCTCCTGATACATCCACCCCACTGGTGTATAATCAGATACAAGTGAATTTATCATCTTGTATGCTTCATACTTGTGACCACGTTTGTACTTGGTCCTTGCAACGCCTACTAATGAATAGATATGACCAGCCTCAACAGCTGCCTCAAACCACTTCTGGGCATCCTTATACTCCTTCCTCTCAAGCATCACACAACCCAATTGGTGAAATGCAAGTTGTTTCTGCCAACCATCAGATGCACACTCTCCCAACCGCTCCAATAGCATTATTGTCGTGTTTGATTTCATATCCTCCTCAATGGCGATTTGGGTTAAAAAGTAGTACAACAAGAATGAAGCATGACCCACAAGAGACAGTTCCCTAGCCTCAGCACCACAAAAGAATCTCATCACATCTGAATTGTGTAATGAGCTCGGCAGCGCTCTCAGAAACACCTGCAAGCAAGCAGCCACAAGAAGATGTGCAGTCTCATCCAATCCGTACACAATAAGTAACATCGCTCTCTCCACATCATAAACCAGAGAAGCTAGATACACATCACACGCAGACTTCATCTCCTCACAACAAAACTTGTTTGCGAATGAGAGCAGCTCCAAAACAATAGCTGGCTCAAAAGAATCCACACTCTTTGTCCTACTAAATATCTCAGCGGCTATCATTCCGCTAATTGAAATCCCATTTTGTGTAAAATTAATCTTTTCCCTTCGCGACTCCAAAAAGTTACCATAAAGCATTGCTTTGAATGGTCTAGAAAGCGAGGCAATGTTGTATCGAATACACCTTATCTCCTCATCTCCAATACAAAATGACATATCACAATCTTCCTCTGATGTTGAACATTGCTCATCTCCCATTGAAAATTCAGCATCACTATCCTCCCTAGGACTTCGATAGCACGTACAGGGATCATAAACCGACTCTGGATTATACCCAGAAATCAAAGTAGCATTTGGGCATTCCATATTCCTTCCAGAACAATCCATTGATGATGTCCCAATTAGTTCATCCTCCCTTCTCTCTAACCTCAACCAAGCTGAAAGAACAATCTTAGAATGGACATCCACCGCGTGCTGCCTCGCTGATCGGAGGCTCCGGCGGAACAATTTCGGGTCATATAGCCCCCGGAATACGGCACATTGCTCAAGATACATTCCTGATTTCTCAAATTGGGGACAAATCTCCATTCTCCGATACAAATCGGCTAGGGTTTCAACAAAATCAACAGATTTGAGACAAGGTTCAATTTGGGGTTCGAGCAGATCGGTTTGGGGAAGGCCATAGGTGGCTAGGGTTTCAGCTACGACACTGTTATTGTTGATTTGGACATTATTGGATTGGAAATTCGAAGTCGATTTTGACCTAATCGAATTTACTTTAAGATGGTCTTGAAGGTGGTGTAGGAACTTCTCTCCCACACTTCCTACACCACCGCCACTGTCACCACCACCGGCGGATGGATGAAGCGCATACACGTGTGTGCCCTTACATCCATCCATTATTTTTAAACTACGCATTGTAGTAAAAATATTGTACTACATATCTGAATCCAATAACAGAGCAATAGATAAAATGGGAGTTGAAAAATTACCTCTTTTCGCCCACAAAAACCATCATTTTTTAGAGAGGAAAGCTCGAGAGGAGAGTGGTGGAAAAAATTACCTCTTTTCGCCCACAAAAACCATCATTTTTTAGAGAGGAAAGCTCGAGAGGAGAGTGGTGGACAAAAATGATGGTGATGCAGTTTTCTTTTTCTTTTTCTTTTTTCCCGTTGATTTTCCTGAGAAAATTGGAGAAACGAAAATGTTTTCTTCGTGTGATTGGAAAAAAAAAAAAAAAAAAAATTTTGGGGGAAAAAAAAAATTCTGGGGGGAGTGATCTCTCTCTGTCGTTGCCCCCCCAACCAGCGGTTGACGAGGGGGTTGAGAGGTGGCCGTTGGAACGGCCACTCTCTCTCTCTCTTGCTTTCTCTCTCTATATATGTATATGTATATGCTTTGTCTGTCCTCTTTTCTATTTCTTCTTGTTCTTTCTGGTGATGTCAAAGCCGTTAGAAATGGAGAGCCGCTAAGACAAAACTCTCTCTACATTTTCTGACTCCGTATATCACGGACACGCTGTTTCGTCCGACTCATCTTTAACGCGCAGCATTTTTTTTTTTTTTTTTATAATTTTGACTTTCTAAAATTTTACAAAATTGATACATTTTGATAAGTTATTAAAAAAATATTTTTATTTTAAAAATTTATTACACTTTATATCTTTAAATTATTAATTTAGTTCCTGAAGGATTGAATTGATTTATATTGAATTATGGGAAGTTAGCAAAAAGTTAACTTTTAACTTTTTTTAGTCAAAAAATTTAATTTTTTAACTCAAGTCATTATCCAAAAAGTTAATTTTTTTTTGGCTAAAAAAGTCAAAAGTCAATTTTTTCCAAACTTCTCAAAACACCACATAGTACTCTTTTCGAAGTTGATTAAAAGTTAATTTTTAATTTTTAACCCATTTTAGATCATATCATTTTTTACATAACTTATTCACAAAAAAACAAAATAAGCTAAAAAAAAATTCAAAAAATCAACTTGTAACCAATTTTTCAAAACATCAATTTTATTGTCTTCAACCGTCAAATTGAACACCCCGCAAAATATATATATATATATATATATTTTAGATGACTTGGTTTTGCTCCAATTTCACAAGTTTTAAGTAGTATACTGATATACGCAAATTTATTATTCTTAAAACAAAAATATTTGGTAATTCTAAAACAAGAGCAGTAAAGGAGCTCTAAACAGGTAGGTTTCACTTGTAATGTGATTGGTGTGTCTGTGTTTTGCTTCTTTTTTTTTGTTGGCATTTTGCCACATCATTAGAACTCATATTAGAACTCTCTCCCAAAAGCTCTGTATTATTGTTGTTCTTAAAAAGAAGTATTCTATTTGATGCAGTCAATTTATTATTTTTCTTTAATATTGTGACATTCATTATGTGTAAATTTGTTATTCCCTTCTCATTATTAGTCCAACCTTGACACCTACCTCTCAAAACAAATAGGCACTTAATTCTAGGGTTGAAACTTATTGAAGTGTCAAATTTTGTCTTTTAAAATGTCATGTAGAATTTGAAATATTGATTGAAGATGCTTTTATAGGTCAATTTAGTTTCTAAGTTTCTAAAATCATTAAAATCAATTCAGTTATTAATTTATCTTAGAATTGAATCAAATTTAAGAAAGATTTAAATTTTTGAGTTTAAGTCATCTTAAAAAGTTATTGAAGGTTTGACCGCTCCTTAATTTTAAGGCTTTTAAATTATTTAAGATTGACCGCTCGTTAATTTTAAGACTTACAAATTATTTAAGGTGTACGTAAATTGACGTGAATACTTGATTATTAAAAAAAAATTCTAATTACGACTAGACTGCTGTAAAAACGTACGGCGCATGATTGAATACATTTTTTTTCTACCAATAGTGTAATTGGGCTAGGAGTCCAAAGTTGGATCTTTCCATCCCTTTGTGATCGGCCCACCACATTTTTCAGCCCAACTAATAATTTGTACTGAAATTTCCATTTACAGTGGAAACGGGTATTCTATTCCCAAAAAAATTATTAAGTACTCTCAACTTTTTGAATACACCATGTTCAATTATTTAAAATTTTATATAACTTTCATTACATCTTATTATTTTTTTCAAATTATTTGGCTAATTTAGTAACTTTTTGGCTAATTGGCTAAAATAGCCTCTTGCCAAACGAGGCCTTAGTTTCTAAGTTTCTAAAATCATTAAAACCAATTCAGTTATTAATTTATCTTAGAATTGAATCAAATTTAAGAAAGATTTAAATTTTTGAGCTCAAGTCATCTTAAAAAGTTATTGAAGGTTTGACCGCTCCTTAATTTTAAGGCTTTCAAATTATTTAAGATTGACCGCTTGTTAATTTTAAGACTTACAAATTACTTAAGGTGTACGTAAATTGACGTGAATACTTGATTATTAAAAAAAAAATCTAATTACGACTAGACTGCTGTAAAAACGTACGGCGCATGATTGAATACTTTTTTTTTCTACCAATAGTGTAATTGGGCCAGGAGTCCAAAGTTGGATCTTTCCATCCCTTTGTGATCGGCCCACCACATTTTTCAGCCCAACTAATAATTTGTACTGAAATTTCCATTTACAGTGGAAACGGGTATTCTATTCCCAAAAAAATTATTAAGTACTCTCAACTTTTTGAATACACCATGTTCAATTATTTAAAATTTTATATAACTTTCATTACATCTTATTATTTTTTTCAAATTACCCTCAAGGTAAATCCAAATAATAAATAATAAACAAATTAAAAAAATTAAAAACAGACTCCATAATTAGAGACACCATCAACAAGCTTCTTGTCATTTATTTCAGTCGATCTTTCGATTCTCTTTGTCTATAGCTCAACGACCTTGTACGTCTAGGGTTTTCCTTTCTCTCTTCTCTGTTTAATTTTTTTTTTCTGAAATAAAATAATGGCTTTTATGTTGATGGAAGACCTAATTTGAATTGCAAATGCACTTGATAAAAAGAAGGCTCAATTTTGTTTGTATCTCAAAATTCTCATCTAATCATGAAGCAATACAATTTGATTCTATAAATCAAAACTTTTAAAAAAATATAATTGCTTTGAACATTGCTAATATGATTGATCACTTGTATACTTTGCATACCATATTGCCTTGCCTTAACTTTTTTTTGTATCTCTTTCTTCACTTGTTGTTTTGCTATTCTAATTTATTGATTACTATGCATTTGACAAAATGCTTGAATGGGAAGCGCTTTGCTACCTTACTTGGTTTACCTCCTTTATTGATTTTTTATTATTATAAATATTATACTTTTTAAATGTATGTACATATAATGGTGAGTTCTGGTTGGGTGAATTAGAGTTTTGGAGAGAAGAAGAAGAAGAAGAAGAATAAGAATAAACAACTTTGATTTATTGAGAAGAAGATATAGAGATTTGAATAGGAATAATTGATTAGGGTGTACTATGAGGAAAAAAAATTATTTTAGACTTTAATATGTATTGTCCTTATTAATAAATTCACATTAAAATATAATCCGAATTAAAATTTATAAATTTAAATTAGACGTATTAATATATATTTTGGGTTCAAATAAAATTTCTCAGTAAAAAGCTTTATGATTTACTTTTGTCGTGTCGAGATTGGATCCCGTCTAAAATTTATAACACAAATTTATTTTTATTATTAATAACTTTTAATTTAATTTTATTAATTACATCTATATCAGAAAAGTTATTCAAGAAAGTTCAATTTTTGCAAGTAATTAACAATTAATGAATATAATAAAAAATTCAACTAAATTTCAATAAATAAACAATAGTTGTAAGACAAACCGGCCAAAGATTTTATGTCAATTAAATTAAATTTCATTTCATTTCATTCCATCAAATACTTTTCAAATTAATGAATAAAATAAAGGGATTAACAAAGATAATGGCTAACAAGCGTTGGATTTATAGTTTTTTTTTTTAATTAAAAAAAATAAAAAATTACACAAGGCCACAAAATAATCAATAAAAAGCTAAACTTTGCGGTTGTACAATATTCTACTTCTCTCCTTGCCATTTTTTTTTTAAATGGGTATTTTATTCTTTTTCAAACATCACAATTAATAATACATGATTAAATCCACTTGACATTACGGGTGCAGTTATAGAGAGAACAAAGAATTGTTACATGACATATATAGATAGTGGTGTTTTGACCGGGTATTATCAGAGATTTGTAAATGATTTCTTTAAATTAGTTTTACCTTTAACTAAATTGACAAGTAAGGGAGTTAAATTTGTGTGAGATGAGATTTGTAAGAAGTCATTCTAGGAACTTAAAATTAGACTGATCACTGCTCTAGTTTTGATTATTCCGGATAGGAGTTTGGATTATTCCGTATATTGTGATGCCTCACAAGAAGGTTTGGGTTGTGTTTTGATACAAGAGGGGAATGTAGTAGCCCAATCATTTATCAAGCGGCCTCGGGCCCAATTATTTAACAAGCGGCCTCAGGACCGATCATTTAACTAGCGGCCTCAGGCCCGATCATTTAACAAGCGGCCTCGGGCCCGATCATTTATCAAGCGACCTCAGGCCCAATCATTTAACTAGCGGCCTCAGGCCCGATCATTTAACAAGCGGCCTCGGGCCCGATCATTTATCAAGCGACCTCAGGCCCAATCATTTAGCACATATCATATAATACCAATGCAGTTTCATCATTTCCAATCAATTTATAATGTCGGCACCAATCACCGTTCATGGTTCAAGGTACGCAACAAAGAGTATAAGTGTACTATATTACTACTCACAGTGCGTTTAGTCTTGCGGCGTTGCCTCTGGTACTTGACCTACAGAAAACATGTCACATATACATCCGATAAATCATTTGTTTCAATTCGTACACTTTTTTTAAATTTCTCTCACGTACAAAGCATGTTCCAAAGATGTACCTTAAACGGCCCTAAATGTTCATGACTTAAATTAATGTTTCCTACAATAATTTCATATATTTTTCATTGAACATATCATATTTACTCATTTAAGATTTAAGGAAATAACAAGAAGTGAAGGAAACTAAGTTAGGATAAGAATTGGAATGAAACGGTTAAAAGAAAATAAGCAACCTTCACTAATTTGAGCATAACTATTTGTGTACTTAGAATTTGGATGTGAGACCACTACCATTAGAAACTAGACTTCTAGGGCTTGAATTTAGGCTCAAGAATCACTTAAAATGGAATCTGGATGAAGGAGATATGCCTTTTTGAAGTTAGGCTGAAACAGGGG